CCTGTTACAAGGCATTTTCTGATTGGTACAAGTTCAGATTATTTTCAATTCTCACAAATAGCTAATTTAAATATTTGGGTCAGGCGGGTCACGTAGACTTCACTTTACTGTAAGACAAGTTGATCGCACAAGTTTGTGGAACTAATCCATTCGACTTCAATTTTGATTATTTTCGGCAAGAGAGTCCTCTCCAAACTAATGCCAGTTATTTTGTTACTTCCCTGAACATTTTGTCTCAAATCATCCAAAAACGAACGTCTCAAATAAAATGCAAAAAATAACCCAAAATCAAGATCAGCGAAAGTGGGCTGCGTAATCATTACATTCTCACAGTCGGAGCTACGTCACGATCCTTCAAACGTTGCCATGACCGGATTAACACCTCTGTTTTCCCCCACGCTAACCAAATTTCCCCCACGCTAAGGAAAAAATCTTTTGTTTTCTGCTGACTTCCTGTTCCGGTCCGTCTGTGAGAATGTATTTTCGATACCTCCGATTTTCCGATAAAGGCGTTCTAAAATCGTGACGTTCTTTACTTGGTTATAAAGACAACATTGACAATGAATATCTCAACGTGTCCTTCGGTGTTTCGGCAAAAAACATACTAGTAGTTGCTATGAATAGTTTGTGAATTAGTCGATTGTGTGTCAGAAAATATAAAATGGACAAGTTGACAGTCACATTCACGCTCTCAGTGCATTTCTTTCGTCTATCATTCTTCCGTTCTCAATTACACAGGACATCATGCAAGTTATGGGGATAATCTTTATTTGTCTCACTCCTTCTATGGGGGAATAAACAATGCAGGTGGAAGTGAGGCACGATAAGCTCGGTGTCTGCCTGATTGTAAACAACCGGGTGGCTGGCACTTATTTCTGGGTTCTTGTTGACAAAACCACTCAACTCTTGGTGGCTCTTAATGGAGGGTCAAATGTAACAAATTTTCACTGAGTGGCTCTTAATTGAGGGTGGCGCTTATTTGCGGGTTTTTACGGTAATCATCACATATCAATGAATGTTTATACATGGATGCTGTAGGACAATAGACAGACCTGGATAATTGTGGGTTAAAATCTGTACATATTAATTACCCAATTTGCATAATTAACCAATTTTAAGCTTTCACACTGATATCTAAAGTACTAATTTCCATTTTAATGAAACTTAGTACAAAGATGCTCTAGGACAATGTACAAACCTAATTAGTTTGGGGTCAAACTCTGTTCATATTATTTCCCCAATTAGCATAATAATTCATAATTTTTTGGTTCTAATCACATTTCAATTAAACTTGGTACATAGAGTTTTTGTTACATTGCGCAGACCTCATTAGTTTTACAATCAAATCTGCTCATGTTAATTTTCTGATTTGCATAATTAGTTTTCAGCTAAGTAATTTCAAATTATATTTAATGTGTCTCCAATACTCTCAGCACATGGGAGTTCTTTCTAAGCTTTCTTTGATTTTCTGTGTATAGATAAGATCAGCATATATGATGATGTAGATTCAGAGGTCCTGCAGAACTACTGTGAGTTTTCCCTTGTCAATCTAGTATACTTTACACTGAAGGAAGGTGCTTGCAGTGAACTCAGTGCTAGAATGACAGCTATGGAAGCCGCTTCAAAGAATGCTGGTAATTATTTTATAATTCTTGGATGTTTCAGGGCATTTAAAACTATGAATTGTGTATTAAACAAGTCTAATATGTTGAGCTTTATTGCTGGATATATAACAATGAATGGAAAATCGTTTGCATTTCATTCTAGGCAAAAGGTTCTTGTATTGGTGTCATTTGTTCTATTTTATTCATATTTGCCCAATTTTCTGAATTTTAGTTAAATTTTCTGAGCAATGGATAATTTTAGTAGTAGTTTTTATGTGTAAATTGTGTAAATTAAGGCAGCACAAGTTTTATCTCTGCTGTTGACAAAGTCAACACAGCGGAGCTGTTCATATTACTGATTGTCAGTCTCAGTCGTCAGCGTCAACTTTACAATTTCAACTTCTGCTTCAAAAACCGCAAGTCAGAATGTTTTTAGTCCCCGTCACATCATTTATTTTTCAGATCGAATTCAAAATGGCTGTCTGGCGGCCATTTTGTTTTAATGATTGGGCT